GAAACTGAATATTCCATGGTCCTCTAAAAACACGGGGATCCACTCTCAACGAAAACCCTCTAATAGATTAAAGAACGACCTCTTGGACTTCTGACATTCTTTTTATATTTATTAAACCTCAGTTTTGGAATCCTTATAAATCAAAATATTTATTTATTAATTCTTAGTTGATCATATCTTTAGGTAAACACAACAAGAATGTTCTTGGTTTTATCAGTCATTTTGTATTATATAGTTAATTTGCCTATCGATATATTCTCATTAAATTATTAAATAATTAATTGACAATCTTAACTTAATTCATAATAATCTAGTATTCTATCCATAACTATTCATTATTTGAATTTATTTTACATAGACTTATTATTAGTTTTTTTGTTACTATAAAGTTTAACTATTTGAATTTTTTGATTTCTGAATTTCTTATTCCATCTCTTTTAATGATTTGTCTAATCAATAATCTTCACTATTTTATTAATCTAAAAATCTAAAAAGCCCACTCTGTAACTATCATTTTATGTACCACTTTTAATTATAAATTATTTTCATAGGCAATTGAGAGGCAAATCAATTTAAATTGTAATAGCCACTTGATTAATAATACTAATGTGCATCTTCTTATAATCTTAAAATTCAAACCTCAAACAATTTTATTTTTCTTACTAATTTTTATTATTTCCCTATATATATCTAAATTGTTTTGAAAGAATATCAAATAAGAATTTCTTTTCCTCTAAATCATCACATATTCCATTTTCATAATTACTTTTCATATAAAATGTTCGATATTGCAAATTCTTAAGTCAATATCAGAAATATTCTTACTTTCTAAAATTATGTAATAGTTCAAATTCTCTCTGTTACCAATTTTGATTTTATTCAGCTTTCTACATGATCATTTATAAATAAATTATTTTAATATCTGTAACTTTAAGTATGCGATTACAAATTTGTTTCACATTCTCTCACTTTTCTAAAAAACCTTTTGATACTGCTAGGTTTTATTTATTTGATAAATTGTATAAAGTTAGAGCAATCATAATTAACTAGATAAATTATTGAATTTTTTTATGAGACTTTTTTTTAATTTCAAAGATCATTCTTTTTGCTCTTAATTATCTTCTTTAAGAATAATGAAATAAAGTATCTATCATAACCTCTATTCTTAGTTGTTATTAATAACATCTAAATATTCCTATCTATAACTATAATATTTTATATATATAAATTATTAGTGATTAATATATATTATTAGTGATTATAAAAAGAGATTTGAATTGATAATATCTTTTATAAAAATAAATAAAAAAAAGAGATGAGTAATGAATATAGAAATAAAATAGAAAGCTGTTGTTTAGAAATTGGATAAGATATAGAGGTAAATATGATTAATAAATATTAAAATAGTGTTGTTTCAAGGGAATTGATAATTATCTTGATTAAATATTAAAAGAAAGTTAAAATTCAAAATCAGATTCAAGAGCTTCGTAATTAAATATCTAATTACCTAATTTCTCATTATTAAATATAAATAATCAATCATTTCCTAATTAAATGGCTTAATAAGTAACATCTTTAATTAAAACAACTATTGATAATCAATTTAAAAACAAAGATCAATCATTTAATTAATAACTTAACAAATCAAATAATTTATAACCATTCACTTATAATTTGATTTCAAATAATTCAATTAAATAAGATAATTATTGTTATGCTATAGCTATAAATAAAGATAATTCAATTGTGATAGCAGGATGTGATAAATAGATCAAAGTATTTGAATTCAAATAAGAATAGTTGAAATAAACTCAACTTTTAACTGAACATTCGTCTAATGTTTATACTTTAAATTTTATGAAGAAATCCAATTAATTTATATCAGGAAGTTATGATAATTCTATTATAATATGGTCTATGAATTTAAATAATTAATGGATTTGCAAATAAAAATTAAATGGACATTCAAATGGTATTTTATGTTTAATATTGAACAATAATGAAGATATT